AGAACTGGGAGATGAGCGCTCCCCCGACCGGAGGCTGGCAACTGCACAGCCACAGGAACCAGGTGGGGAAGCGCTCACCCCGCCTGGAGGGTGACTAATTCCGCCCCTTCCCCCCCAGATCTGAAGCCCCCTCCTCCCTGCACAGTTTGGAAAAAAGTCTTGTATACCCTGCGGGTTACTTGTGTGTGGTGTATACACTTTTTTTTAATTCAAACTGCAAAAACCGCGGGGTATATTCGCTAACACATGGTAGTTCTGGGTTACATTCAGTTACAGGTTCTTACATGACAGGCTTCTTCACATGAACCAAGTCAAAATATTATAAGCATCCTGAACTCCATTCCTCTTGGACAATCAGAGCCAGATTTATCACTCCACTACTCTATCTAGGTGGACTGCTGTACAATAGTAACCCTGCAAATGTAGCTGAATGCTTGAAATGGAATAGGTTGAGGAACAATCCAGCCTGTACTTTAAGATTTAAGACAGATTTGCTAAGCAAGACAGATTTGTTTAAATGACTGCACAGATCTGGATAACAGGTTTTTCACCTGCGTATTCTTTGAAATTCCCTCTTATCCACAATTCCCCAGCATGCTTTTCAGGGTGTATACAAGTTTTGCAAAAGTCTACAAATCCAATTTATTCAAAAGAAACCTAAATTTAATATGTTAAGGCATGTTACAGTTGTATTTGCAAAACATGTTTTGATGAGCTCTTATGTACTCACCATATTTAAGATATTTTTAAAACAAAACAATTTATGCTATTATGTTCAATTCAAGTGACCAACTACTCATTTTGTAACAGATCAAGTGTAGAAGAATACACAATAGTTTTAATTTGACTTCCTAGGTAACAAGTTGTGCTAAATCTAGTGAAATGCTCTATTAGCTGTAAGTCAACATGCTTTAATGCACTTTAGGGATAGGTAATAATGTGCCTTTATTTAGGAAAAAAAGTGAAGTATAAATGGAAGTTGTTTAAAACAACTGGAAAGCCTCAATCAAAATAACTCAAGCGATTTACAAAAGCGACAAGGAATCCTGTAGCACCTTATAGGCTAACAGATGTCTTGGAGCATAAGCTTTTGTGGGCAAAAACCCACTTCGTCAGATACATCTTTGCCCATGAAAGCTTATGCTCCAATAGATCAGTTAGTCTATAAGGTGCTACAGGACTCCTTGTTGTTTTTGCAGATCCAGACTAACATGGCTACCCCTCTGATTCACTTGATGTCTCGTGATTTAAATTGCCTTGAATTAGTTAGTTTCCCCCTCCCTCCGGTGTTCTAAGAATACCAATCTGTCTTGGACAACAACTAGCTTAGACTGTTAAATTTAGATGAGAGTTTTGGCCCAGATAGGGACTCAGTGGTCATATGCAGGCAGATACACTTACTGCAGTTGCCTGCAACACAGATGCCTGACTAGTGGATTTTGGTCTGGAGAAAAAGCCTACCACCAAAACCAGTCAGTTTGTTTTAGACAAGCAGGAGAGTTATGTATTAGGATATCCCAGTTATGACACACAATCCCCTTTCCCTTCCCCCCCAGAAGAATGACCACAGTTTCTCAGTAGGTCTGGTTAGACAGTGGCCATCCTTGGAACACAAGACAGCATAAAACAGTCAGGTTTCTGTACTGACATACCTGAGGTTTTGCCTGCCTTTTGGACACAGTCTAACTAGACACTCAATCTGGACATTGATCCAGAGAATCTTTCTGTACACATTAACTAGCTCATGTTTTTAAAAAACAAAAAAGGGATTATGTTATTCAGCTAGTGCCCACACCTCATGGTCAAGGTTTCTCCATGACCTTTTAATTGCAGTTAGATTATACCAACAGGAAGCCTCTAATCCCACTGACTAATCAAAGGAGCAGAATGGAGGAGGAGTTATGCTGTTGTATGTGAAGGCTGGAGGTGGAGTTATTTTTCAGCCTTCAAATACAGGCAGCACAAGTTATTACAGAAAAACTCCAATTGTCCGGCATCCAGTGGTCCGGCACTCCCGATAGTCTGGCACCAACTGGAACCAGGAAGTGCTCCGGCAGCTGCTTCAAGAAGTTGTTAGTCAGTTACACTACCACCAGCTGGATCCGCAGGTGACAGGCTAGCAATTTATCTTTCCTCTACTGCCTCTGGCAGGGGCGGATGGGGGGGGACGTAATTGACTGACAACTTTTTGAAGCAGCTGGCTGCCTTTCACCCCCTCTCTGCCCCTGCCACTTGCAGGCTTTGCCTCCCTGCAAAACGGCGGAGGATTCGACCCTCACTGCGCCGTTCCCTGCCGAGCTCCTGCCCCCACTGGAAGCAGACCCCTCACAGCCCCCTGCCGGAGTACCTCCTGATAGTCCGGCATACCCGATAATCTGGCACCACCTGGGTCCCAGAGGTGCTGGATTATCAGAAGTCTACTGTAGCTTGAATAGCAGGGCCACCTGTGTACTGAAGCAGTGAAGGATACGGCTTTGCAGCAGTCATAGTAGAAGTCCTTTATCGTTACAGCTGGGGCCAGTAAAGGCAGACAAACATCACATGTGCTCAGTCCCTTCCCCAATATAAGAGTCCTAGCCAACATTTATCTAGTTACTGTCAAAACTCATTGGCACTGCTGTACTCCAAGACACCCAATAGTCTTGATCAAGCACATGACCAAAATCTTATAACTGAGCCACTTGTGAAATATCTTGAAGTGATTTTTTTGCCCTTCATCTTGAATACATGCACAGCTGTAGCCCAGTCAGAGTTTATAATAAAATAATTGCATCAACTATGGTCTTTGAGAGGTGATGATTCAGCATCATTGAAAAGATTTTACTTTTGAATACAAAACACCAGCTTCTTGCATTGGTTTGTGAGCAACACACACCAATCTTACCCAAACCGAGTGCCTTTAAGGGTTAAGGTATTGCCTCACCCGCCCCCATATGGAAGATTAACAGAGTACATCTTGTCTAGATAAAATAGATGTCTGTTAACAGCACTTCGCCAAAAGACCCTTGCTGCTAGAGTGTCCTTCACAGCAGCCAGAACACAGACTTTTAATAAAGTT